GACCCGAGGGGCAATAGTCTCTTGAGCCAACTCGCTGCATTACAATGAATAGAGACTCTATTAAGCCCCGTTCTGCCTGTTAGCGTTTCCATGGGTTACTCAGCCCCCATATGGAAAGCATGCAGTGTGTTATTGAAGGCCTCCAGGCCTCATTGTAGGCCCGAAGCATGACTGGCAGTTGAAGCCCCTCCTCACACTTGACACTGCCTTAGTGAGAGAAAAAAAGCAGATGGAATTCATGTAGAAAAACGTAACCCCCCCTTTCAAACCAACCACCACCCACCCTGCCAATAAAACTGGTCCCCCACCCTAATGCTTCTACTTTCATGGCCATCTCAGGAGGAGTGTGAGAGCCGAATTTATCCAATTAAGCAAGCTTGTCAAGTCGAGTTGATAGCGAGCAAAAGGGACATAAATTAAAAGGAACGGCAAAAAAAAAAAAGGGAATATGTTAAAAAAAAAGACTAAAAAAATAGTTTTTCCCTCCTTTTTTGAAAAAACCCCCCCAAAACTTGGTCTTCACCCGGCCTTAGATGAGATTCATATAATAAATTAATAAAATATTTTCGCGAGGGATGGCCAAAAACAAAGTTTGGACTTGTTTCTCTTTTTTTGGGGTTTGGGATGTCCTTTTTGTGTTCAGATCACTGGCTCTGGCTATATGGCATTTGGTCTCTGGCCTTGGATGAGCTAAAAGCATCGGTGGACAAATTAACATGGGAGTCGGGAGCCCGTCTGTCCAATCCAGGAGCCAGCAGGATGTTTCAGGAGGAAGCTCCATTGACAACAGCTAGAGGAAACCTCAAAAGTTAGGTGCCACCTGAAGAGCAATGACGACCTGGTTCCTCACATTTGTCCAGCCCTGGATTATTATTTATATACGGGATTTATATAGCGTCAGCAGTTTGCCCAGCGCTTTACAATATAAGGAAGACATTACAATCACAATACAATTCAAGACAAGGTGGTAAGGAGGGCCCTGCCCGTGAGGGCTTACAATCTAAAAGGGGAGGGACCAGTGATACATGAGGAGGTCGCTGTGTGGGGATGAATTGTTTGAGAACGTGATGGTTGGGCGGTTAGGTGGGGGTGGGATAGGCTTCCCTGAAGAGATGAGTCTTTAGGGATCGCCTAAAGGCAGTCAGAGTGGGAGACAGACGGACAGGTTGGGGTAAAGAGTTGCAGAGGATGGGAGAGTCTCTACAGAAGTCCTGGAGGCGAGCATGGGAGGAGTTGACAAGGGAGCTGGAAAGGTTAGGGTGATACTTTGAAACAAGGTAGGAGATATAGCCGGGGGCGGAGCTGATTGGATGTGGGGAAGAAAGGGGAGGTCCGAGTCAAGGATGACACCTAGCACCTTGGCATGGGGGGAGGGAGGGATGGTTGTGTTTTCAATCTCAAGGGAAATATTGGGGGAAAGTGCACAGGCCGGAGGAAAAGTATATCTAAACCCAAAGGGTTACCTTAAAGCTTTGGGTAGATTAGAGAAGGTTTACACCCCTTGATGGTCCTGTAGATGCATCAGGAAGTAAGAGGAGATGACTCCGACATAAATAAAATGCCCCCTTAGACAGTTGTCACCAGAACACGTGTCCTCTCCTCATTGGAAGACTTTGTTCCCGATCCAGTTCCGGTGGCAACTCAAACTTTTTTACCAGGATGAATAGAGAGGGCGAATCTCATAGACAGCAATAGAAACCTGACAGGGTTCTGACCATCCCCTACACCAGCCACAATTTACCTTTTTAGGCTAAAAAAAAACTTAGGGTGTCAGGAAGGGAACAAGAAACACCTCTTTGTGCGCGTTGGGTTGAGGCCGGAGAATTTTGGACTCTTCTTGGTCCTTGCTTGGAAGTTGTTTTTTCTTTTTACATTTATTTAGAGTTTTTTTGTGTCCGGACCGCCTGCTTGGGTTATAGCCGGAGATATTTTTCCTGAATGGGTTGGGTCGCCGGTTCCGTTTGCTCCTTGGTGGTCTTGCTGAATAGTTGATTGTTGCGGTAGGAACTGGAGCGACTGAGAATATATCCTTTTACACGCCGGTGTCTGGCTCTTTCGTTGCCAAGATGGAGCTGGCAGGATTCTCACCTTGCCCATGCCATCATACCCATTTACTCTCCTTTCATCTGTTTCGCTGATTTTCCGTTGGCGCCGGTTGCATTTCCTTCCCTCGTACTTTCTTTCATTTCTTATTCTGCGTCCTGTTCTTAAAGCAAACCTGTGCTGGGCCCATTCCGGATTGCTTTAATCCTGCCCCATCCCCGGCTGTATATACCTTCCGTTCCTTTGTTTTCCTGCTGATCCGTTCAGGTAAAAGTGGGTACTTCCAAGTATGGGGAACCATGTGACTCTCTCCATGTGACAGCACTGGGCCAATCAGCACTGTCACACCAGGAGCCCATAGCCCACTGTGAGCTCCAACTCTAACTCGTAGATTACTCAGGGCTGAACCTAGGGAACCTGTTCAGAGTCATAGTCAAAGGTCCAACCGGGTACTTCCAAGTATGGGGAACCATGTGACTCTCTCCATGTGACAGCACTGGGCCAATCAGCACTGTCACACCAGGAGCCCATAGCCCTCGGTGAGCTTCAACTCCAACTCATAGGTTACTCAGGGCTGAACCTAGGGAACCTACTCGGAGTCATAGTCAAAGGTTAAACCGGGTACTTCCAGGTATGGAGAACCATGTGACTCTCTCCATGTGACAGCACTGGGTCAATCAGCACTGTCACACCAGGAGTCCATATCCCCCTGTGAGCTTCAACTCCAACTCATAGGTTACTCAAGGCTGAACCTAGGGAACCTGTTCAGAGTCATAGTCAAAGGTAAAACCGGGTACTTCCAAGTATGGGGAACCATGTGACTCTCTCCATGTGACACCACTCGGCCAGCCAGCACTGTCATACCAGGAGCCCATAGCCCTCTGTGAGCTCCAACTCCAACTCGTAGGTTACTCAGGGCTGAACCTAGGGAACCTGCTCAGAGTCATAGTCAAAGGTTAAACCGGGTACTTTCGAGTATGGAGAACCATGTGACTCTCTCCATGTGACACCACTCGGCCAATCAGCACTGTCATACCAGGAGCCCATAGCCCTCTGTGAGCTTCAACTCCAACTCGTAGGTTACTCAGGACTGAACCTAGGGAACCTGTTCAGAGTCATAGTCAAAGGTCCAACCGGGTACTTTCGAGTATGGAGAACCATGTGACTCTCTCCATGTGACACCACTCGGCCAATCAGCACTGTCATACCAGGAGCCCATAGCCCTCTGTGAGCTCCAACTCGTAGGTTACTCAGGGCTGAACCTCGAGAACCTGTTTTGACCTGCATGGGCAAATCACAGAATCCACTTAAAGAGGCACTTAAAAACACAATTTAATTATGCTTGGGCAACTGAAGCACACCTGTTGGGAATAGTCACACTCCCCTTCAAGAGAGCTCCCCTCCCCCTTAGGTCCATGGGTTGTCCTCTGCTGTAGACAATGGTGGTGGTGGTGTCAGGCTGGTTGCTGAGGACTTGCAGTCTGGCTATTTAGATGTTCTTGGTGGATAACTGAGCAGGTTGCGTTGTATCAAAGTGGTCACCCCCCTTGCAGCACTTGGTCCTGAGTGTAAAACCCAGCAGGGGAATTTTACATGTGGAGTTTATATGTTCTCCCTGTGTTTGAGCATGTTTCCTCTCACAGCCTAAAAATGTATTGGCAGGTTAATGGGTGTTTGAACAAACTGGCCCTATACCTTCATAGATACCAACTGTCTCAGATTGACCAGGGCAGTCTCGCATCTTGGACCTCTGTCCCGATGATGATGTGTAACGGATTCACAACACCACCCTTATCTGAGTTACTGAGCATGCATAGTAACTCAAAAGAAGGGTATTATCTGAGTCACGAGTGGGAAGTTCCAGCATATTGAGGGGCAGGACCACGCGGGAAAGTAATCTTGGTCTGGGCATGACAAGTGTGTGCCTTGGGAGGAGGCTAACAGTGTCCTGGGACTGGAATTAATATATTGCGTAGTATGAAGCTTGATGGTGTGTTCGTGTGACTAGGGTGAGGTCTTTAGATTGAAAGCTCTGCAAGAAAGAACTAGCGTGATTGGCTCTATGTTGGGGGGGCACCTCTGTCAGTTTCCAAGGTTGTCTGTGACTCCATTATGGAGATATCTCCACACTGTTTTACTCTGTGACAACAGGACAAGTTATGAGCGGAACTGTGAAGCAGACACTTGTGCAGTTATCTTGTCTATAGTTTTTTGGACCAAGAGGGTTGGATATGGTGTGGCTGTTATCTGTTAGAGAGGAGAGTCCTTGATGACCATCACAAGCTCAGCATGCACCATAGTCAAGACCATCACAACCTCAACACACACCATTGTCCACCAGACCATCACAACCTCAACATGCACCATTGTCCACTAGATCATCACAACTTCAACATGCACCATTGTCTACCAGACCATCACAACCTCAACATACACCATTGTCCACTCGACCATCACAACCTCAACATGCACCATTGTCCACTAGATCATCACAACTTCAATATGCACCATTGTCTACCAGACCATCACGACCTCAACATGCACCATTGTCCACTAGACCATCACAACCTCAACATGCACCATTGTCCACTAGATCATCACAACTTCAACATGCACCATTGTCTACCAGACCATCACAACCTCAACATACACCATTGTCCACTCGACCATCACAACCTCAACATGCACCATTGTCCACTAGACCATCACAACCTCAACATGCACCATTGTCCACTAGACCATCACAACTTCAACATGCACCATTGTCTACCAGACCATCACAACCTCAACATACACCATTGTCCGCTAGACCATCACAACCTCAACATGCACCATTGTCCACCAGATCATCACAACTTCAACATGCACCATTGTCTACCAGACCATCACAACCTCAACATACACCATTGTCCACTCGACCATCACAACTTCAACATGCACCATTGTCTACCAGACCATCACAACCTCAACATGCACCATTGTCCACTAGACCATCACAACTTCAACATGCACCATTGTCTACCAGACCATCACAACTTCAACATGCACCATTGTCTACCAGACCATCACAACCTCAACATGCACCATTGTCCACTAGACCATCACAACTTCAACATGCACCATTGTCTACCAGACCATCAGAACCTCAACATGCACCATTGCCCACCAGACCATCAGATCCTCAACACAGACCATTGTCCACCATGTGGTCCTCTTTAGCTCTGACATGAGGCACTCTTTATCAGATGAGTATCCGCTTTTGAACAGTCAAGTAGGACAATCAAATACATGTAAGCGGAGAACCTCTTTAAATCTGCAGACCATTCCTCATCTCCTGACTGTGGTTTTTATCCAGACTTGTCCAGTCTCCTCTTCTCGCCCACTCACCCTATTTACGCCTCTCAGTGGGAGCTGAACAGCTGTGAGGGGTAACATTCCTTTCGATGACAGACCAGCGATGGATTGTGTTCCTGCTTCCAGAATTTCAGGAGGTAATCCCACTGACATAACGCAGAGCCGCGCAACGCCTACAAATTTTTCATAAACGTTCCGGGAAGAAATTTCTGGGCCCAGAGGTCTTTTATTTTATTGATGGCTATGAGAAACTTTTTTCTAAGTGTATTAATGACACCACTGCAGGCAAACATATGTAGGGACCGTCTCAGAGGCGCGCAGGCTGCCTTCTCCGCTTCACATAAGCCACACTCCACTGTGTTTTTTGAGCTGAACCGCAACAAGCTTTATTGGTACCCGATTAGGTCCGACAGACATTCTCTCCATCATGAAACGTGACTCCTCTCCCTTCACTAAAGGGATCCCCTTTGTGTTGCAGCAAACTCCATTTTGTTCTCCAAGTGGGAGCATTGATGGGGGAATTTGATTGGCTCCTGCAGTTATTCAAAGAGGAACTACACTCACCTCCGCCCAAATAATGCTATGTCTGCAAGCTCCCTCATTGGCACCACCATCTTCTACTTGACTTCTCCCGGGTCTTCATGTACTTGCTCCAGTGTTGGCTGTACATGTTGCTCTGGTACGGACAACAGTGGACCATGTGTGTCAGCGTGGCCACTTGTAGCCTTCCTTTAGGGATGTGCGTGGACTTGGTTCACCCAAGCCCATACAATACTGTCAGTGACACCCCCCCTCCCCCTCCAGGCATAATCATTTGCAGCCAGGGCATTCCCCAACCCTTACATATGTGTAGCTGCAGAGTGAAGAATGCCCTGGCCGCAACTGATTTGACCAGGAGGGAGGGTGTCACTACGAGTTTTGCACGGTGTAGGAGGAACTATGGCATACTGGATTTGCACCAGGCCCATGCACATCACTAGTCTCCATCAGGGTAACCTGTAACAAGGTAACACTCAGGAGCTCAACTGGGAGACTGTGACAGAGCGTTGTCACTCTGTAACAGGAAGTGCCCTTTTATGTTCAAGATGCAACATGGGATGGTCCAACATGGAAAGACCGCGGTGGGCAGTAAGGGCAAAGAACAGATCTGTCACCAGATACTTTGTTACCAATACAGAACGCAACGTTGCAAATTATCGGCAGCCATAGCAAATTTGCATTTGCAGTCGCAAGCTCTGGCGCTGTCAGCGCTAAATAACAAGTGCGGCTTATTTGCGATGTTACGTTGGTAGGTATCGTTGACTGCCAAAGTTGACACCAAATTAAAGATTCCTCAAAAAGACGAGTCAGCCATTTCTTTTTTTATCGCGTTGTCTTCTGATTTCCCCGCAGGGTTAACCTCCATTTGGTTTCGGCAGCGAAGAGGTTACGGGGAATTATGGGTGGCGCAGCGTCGCCAATAGCGTTTCTGTATCGCTTGTTTAGGCTGAGCTGCCAAGTATAAGAAGGAAAAATCAAGAAAAATGAAATAATAAAAGGAACTCTCACAAGACGCGGGAGGCCGAGGCCAAGTTTCCACGCAGTCAGAGAGAGTCCAACCTCCCACCGACAGGACTGCTGCTCGTCTCCGTGCCAGAAATAGCCGCCCTGAGATAAAACAGAGCCCAGAGCGAGGAGGGATTGGGCTCGCAGTGTGGGAATCACTGCCAGGACGCTCTCTGGTGGGTATGGCGCTGAAAATCCCACTCTGGAAACTTGGCCGCTGCTTAAAGTCGACCTGTCTTGTCCAGCCGAGGAAGCCATTTTGTTTTACTGCTCTACAGAAACGTGTGCTAGGTGAAATATGTAGAGGGCCACTGATGACCTCTCCTTCTCAAAATGTTAGTGGCCTAGATGAAATATGTAGAGGGCCACTGATGACCTCTCCTTCTCAGAATGTTAGTGGCCTAGATGAAATATGTAGAGGGCCACTGATGACCTCTCCTTCTCAAAATGTTAGTGGCCTGTCTGAAATATGTAGAGAGCCATTGATGACCTCTCCTCAAAACTTTAGTGGCCTAGATGAAATATGTAGAGAGCTACTGATGGCTTCTTCTTCTCAAAATGTTAGTGGCCTGGCTGAAATATGTAGAGGGCCATTGATGACCTCTCCTTCTTAAAAAGGCAAATTATACGCAGGGTGGCCACTGCTTTTTGTTATCTGCAACCTTGAGTCCACCCAAGGTTGGCTGCCTATTGGCTAAGTTATGTATTTGGGTGGAGTGTCATAAAGGTATATAGAAGTGTGTCAGGTGACTTCCATTGTGCCCAGTGAACTTTGAGGATACAGTACATGGAACCCATTGGAAATGCCCTTCTTTCATGCCGCCATATTTATGGATAATAAAGCAAGAATCACTCTGAGGCTCTTATGAACTTTGCCACCCCCCAGGCAAGAGCCTTTCCCATAATAGTGTGTTCAGTTTTGCCGTGGTGATGATGATTCCTAACAAGTAATAGTGCTTCTTCTCTGTGGCAGGATTGGAGATAATAATTACATCTGATGCAAAAAGAGTTCAATGATCTCGTCCTGGGCAGAATAAATGAATAAACATGTTTCACATGATCAGATGATTGAATGGAAGGTTTACTCTTCTTTGAGTGAAGATTCTCAACTTCCTTAGAAGTCTCAATGTATCTACTGACAGGAAGAAGTAATCTGTGATGAGTGGAAATAATTTCACATCTGATACAATGTATATACCAACCGGACAAATGTTTATTGATGATGATAAAGAGCTAAACCCCCCTGATAGTATATAGCTGTACATTGGATGGAGCTGTACATTGGATGGAGATGTACATTGGATGGAGATGTACGTATATTGGATAGAGATATACATTGGATGGAGATGTACATTGGATGGAGATGTACATTGGATGGAGATGTACGTATATTGGATAGAGATATACATTGGATGGAGATGTACATTGGATGGAGATGTACGTATATTGGATAGAGATGTACATTGGATGGAGATGTACGTATATTGGATAGAGATATACATTGGATGGAGATGTACATTGGATGGAGATGTACATTGGATGGAGATGTACGTATATTGGATAGAGATATACATTGGATGGAGATGTACATTGGATGGAGATGTACGTATATTGGATAGAGATGTACATTGGATGGAGATGTACGTATATTGGATAGAGATATACATTGGATGGAGATGTACATTGGATGGAGATGTATGTATATTGGATAGAGATATACATTGGATGGAGATGTACATTGGATGGAGATGTACGTATATTGGATAGAGATATACATTGGATAGAGATGTACATTGGATGGAGATGTACATTGGTTGGAGCTTTACATTGGATGGAGATGTATATTGGATGGAGATGTATTGTAGATGGAAATGTACATTGGTTGGAGATGTATATTGGATGGAGATTTATTGTGGATGGTGCTTTGCATTGGATGGAGCTGTATTGTAGATGGAGATGTACATTGGATGGAGATGTATATTGGATGGAGATGTATATTGGATGGAGATGTATATTGGATGGAGATGTATATTGGTTGGAGCTGTACATTGGATGGAGATTTATTGTGGATGGTGCTTTGCATTGGATGGAGCTGTATTGTAGATGAAGATATACATTGGTTGGAGATGTATATTGGATGGAGATGTATATTGGATGGAGATGTATATTGGATGGAGATGTATATTGGATGGAGATGTATATTGGATGGAGATGTATATTGGATGGAGATGTGTGTTGGATGGAGATGTACATTGGTTGGAGCTTTACATTGGATGGGGATGTATTGTAGATGGAGCTTTGCATTGGATGGAGATGTACATTGGATGGAGATGTATATTTGATGGAGATGTGTGTTGGATGGAGATGTATTGTAGATGGAGATGTATATTGGATGGAGATGTATATTGTTTGTAGCTGTACATTGGATGGAGATGTACATTGGTTGGAGATGTATATTGGATGGAGATGTATATTGGTTGGAGATGTATATTGGATGGAGATGTGTGTTGGATGGAGATGTGTGTTGGATGGAGATGTACGTTGGATGGAGATGTATATTGGATGGAGATGTATATTGGATGGAGATGTATATTGGATGGAGATGTGTGTTGGATGGAGATGTGTGTTGGATGGAGATGTACATTGGTTGGAGATGTGTGTTGGATGGAGATGTATATTGGATGGAGATGTATATTGGATGGAGATGTACATTGGTTGGAGATGTATATTGTTTGTAGCTGTACATTGGATGGAGCTGTATCGTGGATGGTGCCGAATTTTGGATCTCGTTGACAAAAACCGGCCATACACCAGTAGAATTTTGTTTGAAAAAAAAATCTCCTTTCGGATGATCTGTCTGATTTTCTGATAGTTAATGGGGGTCAAATCAACGATCGCTTTCTACCATCGTGACAAAAGAAATCAAAGTAGCAGAATGGGAAATTTTTCTCAAAAAACCTTCTAATGCTGGCCATACACCTTACAACCATGGCACGGCTTTTGTCTTGCGATGGTTGTAAGGTGATTAAAATTCCGTACGATCTTCCCATCTTGGACAGGCCGAGGGGAGGGCTTCCGATGATTGCAGTGCTGAGCGGGCAGTGTGCGCTTCGGTGCGGCACTCGTGTTCCGACCACGATTTTCGGCGGGTTTTCCAGCGTGCTCGGAAGACGAAAGTCGTGCGACCGTACAGTAGATGCGGTCGCACGCTGCCCATACACCTGCCGATTATCGTACGATCGCGGGATCACCCACAACTATCGTACGGTAATCGGCAGGTGTATGGGCACCTTGACATTGAATGTCGTTCTCTCGGGAAA